GCAATTGCCACTCACTTCTCCACTGTCAGGGCAGTTCTCATTTTGGTGTCCCTGCCCTGGGGGGTTGGGGCAAGCTTGGCACACAGATCCAGGAATGTGGCCTTATGCATCCGAAAGTTCTGCAGCCACTGCTCATCAGCCCAAACCTGGATTATGATGCCATCCCACTAGTCAGTGCTTGTTTCTCAGGCCCAGAAGGGGCGCTCCATCTGCAGCTGCTCCATGAATGACACTAACAACCTAGACTTGGTTCTTGTTATGTCCCATGGCAACCTGTCCTCCAAAAAAATAGTTACCTTCCCCACCCACTCAGTTCTTCTTGCGGCTCTGCAAATACTTCAGGATTGTGCGTCCTCTGCTTGTTACACTCACGACAATAGTGCAGAGTTGTGCAGGCTCCATGCTTCTGTCAGACGGCGGAGAGTGAGGAGTGTGCCGTGGGTTTATGGGATTTTGAAAAAAGGTACAAAAATTATGGGATACAAATATTATGCAATGGAGACAGTAATATATAATAACCTTCATTGCTTGATACAAAAAGATGTATGTTTTGTACCCTCTGATGTGAGTGGGCAAGGGAAAGAGCAGCATGTATACCTTCAGGATCCAGTATGCATCATTTCAATGCCTCCACCATTTAGTGTGGGTACACGTACCACGCAGACCGCACCTGGAGCATATCTAAATAATTCCCCATCGGCTACTGTCAGCTCCAGGGGATAGAAGGAATCCTGAGGGTGAGTGAATGGGTTGTAGAAGGAGGTGAAGAGCTTGCACATTTCAGCAACTGGCATTGGCAGAGTAAAGGTATGTGTGTTACTGGGATGCATTAGAGCATTGCTGAAAAAGGGTAGGGTTAAGGTTGCATGGGCATCCTTAACTGTGCAGTTCCTGATTTTCAGAAGTTTGAGATTTACTCAACGCTCTGTAACAGGTCAACATACCACCAAGGAAACTTCACTCTTTATGAATATAGCTTTTTTGCCACTGAATTAGAATATTGGTCTGTTGAGTTAAAAATATCATCTCACTACAACAGGCCCCAGCAGAGACATGGGGCTATTAAAAGATTACAAAATGGGCCAAGCGGATATGGGAAAGCAGTAGCTGTGATAAGAGTTTTAACACAGACCCATTTGACATTATCATAAGCAAATTAGGTAAATGTGGGTGAGATGAAATTACTATAAGGTGGGTGTACAACTGGTTGAAAGACGGTACTCAAAAAGTAGTTATCAATGTTCGCTGTCAAACTGGGAGGATTTATCTAGTGGGGTTACTCAGGAGGTCAGTCCTAGGCCCGATACTATTCAATATGTTCTTTAATTACTTCAATAATGGAGTGGAAAGTATGCTTATAAAATCCGCAGATGACACCAAGCTGGGAGGGGTTGCAAGCACTTTGGAGAACAGGATTAGAATTCAAAACTACCTTGAGAAATGGGAGAATTGGTCTGATATCAACAAGATGAAATTCAATAAAGATAAGCACTTAGGAAGGAAAAAATCAAATGCATAACTACAAAATGGGGAATAACTGGCCAGGCGGTAACACTGCTGATAAAGATCTGGTGGAGGGCATAGTGGATCACAAAGTGAATATGAACCAACAATGTGGCGCTGTTCAGAAAAAAGCTAATATTCTGTGGTGTTTTAACAGACGTGTTCTATATAAGTCACAGGAGGTAACTGGCCCACTCTATTCAGCACTGGTGAGGCCTCAGCTGGAGTAGTGTGTGTCCAGTTCTGGGTGCCACACTTTAGGAAAAAGGTGGACAAACTGGAGAGACTCCAGAGGAAAGCAACAAAAATGATTAAAGGCCTAGAAAACCTGATCTAGGAGGAAAGGTTAAAAAAAACCTGGGCACATTTAGTCTTGAAAAAAGATGACTGAAGACTTGTTACCAGGTCCCTCCTCAAATGTGTCACATGCTGTAATAGAGTCAAGTCAAAGTTTCCCCAAGCCAATGGCTCATCGGGCTGATGCGTTTAAGGCACATCAGTCTCATAGCCAACAGTACACAAGGACACAAGTACAATGTGGCCAGCATCACATCCAACTGCCTATGACTGCCCTAACCCGATGGATCAGGTACCCATTTTGCAGCTGGGTGAACTGGAAGTGGCCTTTCTGTGTAAGATCATGCAAAACTCAAAAGTCCATTGAAGGTAGGACAAAATGTCATCAGCTTAATCTGCAGCAAAAGAGATTCATTAGATATTAGGAGAAACTTTCTAACTATAAGGATAGTTAAGCACTAGAATAGGCTTCCAAGGGAGACTGTGGACTCACCATCATTGGTCAACCTGGTCTTAAAAACCTCCAAACACCCCTCACAGATGGTCTAGGTTTAATTTGTTCCTGCCTCAGCACCAGGGGCTAGACCTGATCACCTCTGGTGGTCCCTTCTAGCCCTAAAAAGCAACAGAGGGCCCTGTGGCACCTTTAAGACTAACAGAAGTATTGGGAGCATAAGCTTTCGTGGGTAAGAACCTCACTTCTTGCATCTGAAGAAGTGAGGTTCTTACCCACGAAAGCTTATGCTCTCAATACTTCTGTTAGTCTTAAAGGTGCCACAGGACCCTTGGTTGCTTTTTACAGATTCAGACTAACATGGCTACCCCCTTTCTAGCCCTATATTTCTATGATTCTAACCCATTCCCAGCCCCCGCAAACCAGGAAGAAGCGTTGGGTGCATACAAGACAATATCCCTAAACCATGACAAGACTGGCAACATTTTATATTGGCTTCTAGCGAATAGATTTAGACCTCTGACTAATGTCTTGTAACACTGTCCAGCCCTGTCTAGCATCAATCACCTTGAAGATTCAGAAGCCTCACCTTGAAGATTCAGAAGCCAGGAAATAGTTCTCCAAACTTATTGCTTACCTGAGAGTTGCCCAACATGTCACTTACAAGGTCCTTAAATGTGGCCTGTAATTGCCATTAGATCTGCCACTTTGGATCCAGACAGGCTCCAAGAAGTTGCCAGAAAGAAAGCCCAGACCAATACTTCTTGGAAGGGGAGAAGGGACTCAAATAAGCAGTGTCAAATCGATGCATCTTATCACACAACACAAAAGAAGGGCTGTTTATAATCCCAGCAAAAATGTAAAATCAAGAATTTGTCATTCACATTTCCTCCTTTTCAGACATTGCAAAGATTGTGCGAAAGAAGGAAAGTCTGCCTTTCCTGTCCCCCGTTAAGGAAGTATGCTTCCCTGTGAATGCTCGGGAAGGAAGAGCAGGCCTTTCTGTTTCAACAGAGTGTTTTTGAAAGAAAAAAAGCCTAGAAAAATTTACTCACCAAGTCGGAATTTTACAGGAGAGAAGGGAAAAAAAAAAACAACAACCCCTATTTAGAAACCTAGTGGAACTTTCTGGGGGTTGCTGGAAGAAGGTCACTACTCACCACCAAACCTGATAGTTTGAGAACTTTCTCCGAATACTGAGGGAGGGAGAAGAATCCCTTCAACAATACTTACAATTAAACAACAAGAAGATATTAAAATTAGGAAAATAGGAGAAAAAAATCACAATATTGCATAGAGTTTAAATAGAACTAATAAAAGGTTATGTATCTAAATGTAAGAAAAGCAGAAGTTTGGATCTAGACAGGAGATAATGAAAGACTTTAACTAACACTATAAACTGACAACACAGAAGAGGAAGTCAGAGTAGAAAAGCATCAACCACAATACAATACATGATCAATACCACAGGTATTGGTAGCAGGTCTCAATACATTTTTAGGGACTTCCATGGGCCAATTTATAATTGTGTACACTAAGTTTCTCTCTATTTAAGTTACAAAGCAATTTTTATGTTATAAAGAACAGATCTGTTAACAGATTAAAAAAAGCCATTACAAAAGACGACATCTCTGCTACTGAGTAAACTATTATAATTAAGACAAAACCACAACAGTAATCAATAGAGGAAGTGAAGTCTCCCCCTACTGCCACAATTCACAGCACCTCAACAGGGCCAAACTACACTGGAGTTCCGAATTGGAAAAGTACTGGGGTGGACTCCTAAAGTAATATGCTGCGACCCATGTCCGTTTATCTTGCTATCAGGGCAGGGAAAATTGCCTGTAGTGATAGATGCAAAAATCAAATCTTTCTTACAATTGTAAGATAATCCGAACTGTTAGAATACATAGCAAAAATTAGTTTGCTTTACTGTATGTCTTCAACTATACATTTTATCTGTTTTTAACCACAAGTTGCATATTAGCAAAACTTTTTGTTAACTGCTCCTGAATGTCAGATTCTAGCTGGTATGACATAATGTAATCAAAATGCTTGTATGTCAGTATAGCACTTTAACATGACGTTCTTAACTCCTGTTACTAAAAATGTACAATGTGTCACAAATACTAGCATTATTACAGAACAAGCAGTATCAACACCAAATCCCTGATTTCACTTCAGACAACACAGAAAAGAGGAGAAAATATGCACCATTCTTTCTGGAACAAAGAGATTCTTTCCTTCCAAATATTTGGGACTCCTGAAGGCAACAACAAGAAGCCTGGACTCCGATCATATAAGCTGCAGTCGCCAGAATGTTAGGACTTGTCCGCACTGGCCAGGGTATATTGTCATGTCCATGCCCAAAGAGCTGGTATTAAGGCACAGATCGGCAGAGTTGTTTGCGGTCTAGCGCCACCCCAGATGGCTGCAGTGATCCCTGGGACTCCATAAAGCCCTTTCGGATCCGGGGACGCAGCAGAGAAGCACGAGTTCAGGCTGGCGAGCCCGGAGGTTCGGAACCCGGAGCCCAAGGACAGGCTGCTAGCCGGGAATCTCCCAGGAGAACAAGTGCCCAAGGCTCCCACGTGGAGCCAGCTCGCCCCCACCCCACCACTGAGAGGGCCCGGAGCCCCCTCCCTCGCTCTGGAAGTGGGGAGAGACCGAGCCCCGGATCTGTCCCCGCCCGGCAGACACACTCAGTCCCGGCCTGCTGCCCTCCGCACTCGCGTGGTGTGGACCCGAGAAACCCAGTCCCAGTAGCCGTCTCGCCCCCGGCCCGGCGCCCGCTGCGGGAGCCAGACCCCGGGGAAGGCGGTGAGTCTCCGATCCCGGCCTCCCCGCAACACGAGGCCTCCAGCCGGCCGCGCTACAGGCCTCCGCACGGGCCTAGCCCTGCTGCCAGGCCGCCTCCGGCTCACGGGGCCCGGCCCCAGCTCCGCCCCCAACCCCAGCCGGCTCCGCGCTGAGGCTCGGGGAGCGCCAAGGCCGAACTCGCCGCCCCGAGCCCTCCGCCGGGGCCGCCCAAGCGCCGCTGCCCGGGTCCCCCTCGCCGAGCTCCCCCAGCGCTACGCCCGGCCCGGCTCCGCTGCCGGGCTCCCCCCGATCTCCCCGGCCGCGCAGTTCCCCAGGCCCCGCCCGATCCCCCAAGGCCCCGCTGCCCGGCTCCCCCTGGGCGAGATCAGCCGGCGCCATGGCCCAGCCCGATCTCCCCGGCTCCTGCCGCTCCCCAGGCCCCGCTCCCGGCCGATCGGTTCGGGCAGCCGCTCTCTCAAAAACCCCGGCCCGGCCCGATCCGCTCCCCGCAGCTCCCCCCGCGCCCGGCTCCCCGATCTCTGCCCACCCCCCGTCCCGGCCCGCTCCCCGCGGCTCCCGCCCGGCCCGGCCCGATCCGCTCCCCGCAGCTCCCCCCGCGCCCGGCTCCCCGATCTCTGCCCACCCCCCGGCCCGACCCGCTCCCCGCAGCTCCCCCCCGGCCCGGCCCGCCCGGCTCCCCGCACCTCCCGCCCGATCCG